TTCCCTAATTTTAGGGATGGATTTTCAAGGTTTTGTTTTTTGGTTAATGGTAAACTTTATAAATTATTTAATTTATACAAGAGATCATGCATGTTATAATAGGGTTATAATATATATATATATATATATCACATGTCACATCTAGTAAATTACAAATTGACTAGATAATGTAAAAGAAATAAAACCATGAATATTTATATCATCAAAAAATATATTTTATTTTTTAATCAAAATTTATTTATTAAAATATCTATTTCTTAATTGTTTTTATCCAAATTTCTTTTGTCATGTTATAACAATATCTTTTGAAGTCCAATATTGAATTTAGAGGAATATACGTAAATTATGTATATATATGAATACATCTATATATATATGTGTGAATAATCAATGGAAAAATAGAGTGAGAGATAGGTGAAATATCACATCGAAAATTACAAAATCGGTTAATTAATTTAATAACAGTAAGGGCTTTGGCATGATTACGTTGAAACGCAATTGCTCGTATTACGTCCATGCACTTACTTATCAAACCCTATTCGGATTTTCTCTCTTACGTAATCAACCACTTGTGAAAAAAAAAAACATATACACCAAAAAGGCAATAGAAAATTAGATAAAGAATTAACAATTTAAAAAACCCTCAAATAAACAAAACAAAATAAGAGAAGTTAAAAACCCAAATCACTTATATATTTTTATATTCATTTGAATATTAAAAAACTCTTTTGTTTTTTTAAAGAGAATTCACTCATCAGTTTCTACAGGGTGGATATTTCGGTATGGTTTTTTAAAACTAAACCGATCGAATTGAAAAATATGGTATTTTCTCCAAACCAAATCATTTAAAATTCTCGAACAGTATTCTTTTAAATCGAATTTTTCATAACCAAATAGAATTTAAAAAAATCCGAACCGGAACCAAATCGAACCGGAACCAAAATCGAACCGAATCGAATATGATATAATAACCGATTGGTATATATTTTTGTAAAATCGAAAGAACCGAATTGAATCATTTCCGAACCAAATACCGAAACGTCCATTGTTAAATGTCTTTTCTTTTTAATTTAAAATATAAAGTCTACGGGAGCTCTAGTTGGATCCCACTAATTAATTCAGTTTATATTATATTAAAAATATAGGGTCGATTTATTTTATTTTATATTAAGACATCAACATCCTTACCAAATAAATTGGAACAATCCATTTCCATTTATAAAAATAAAAAGACTTTCTAAATGATGGTATAATTTCATCATTTATCATTATTTTGTGACTTGAGGGAGACAATAACCTGATTTAGTCCATGTTTAGTTCCACTATCATTTGATTCCATTGGTCCAACTCATGCATTTGGTCCTTTGAGCTTAGATATATCATATACAGGTGAGCTAGTGAAATTAAATTTCCAACTTTGGTTTTATTTTATATGGAAATACACGTGGAATATTATATATATATATATATGTAATTCGATTATAAGTTAGTCATTTATAATCATGAGTTTGGTTTATTTTTTTGTTATAATTGAATGATATATTAATTAATGATTTCTTTAGATACGGAATTTAGACGAATATATACTTAAAAGAAAAAAAAATGAAACGTAAACTATAACTTTTAAAAT